TGTTTCTTTATTTTTTTGTGTATTTATTCCTTTATCTCTTTTTATTGTGTATATCTATCTATGTCTGTTGTTATTTGCGTGCTGTAAGTAACGCAAATAAATTATACATCTATTTATCTAATATTATATCTTATATCATCAAAAACATACAAAATAAAATAATTTTGACTAGTTCTAAACATGGTAACAAATAACCAGAGAATTTTGTACAAATTTTGTACAACTTTGTACAAAAGTCGATTGCTTGGGCACCTCTGTCCCATTCGTGTTTCTACCGTGAAGCAGTTGTGTTTGCATGGCTGAGTTTCGGTTTGAAGGGTGGGATATGGTGTGAATTTACAGGGTACAGAGTAGTGAGTACTCAGGAATGGCAACGCATGGGGGGTATCATGGGCGAAACAGTATACTCTGTTATGTCCATGGTACTCTGCTCATGTCTATAGGCGACTATTACCACTTTCCATCAGGTGGGCCGTCAGCTTGTTTGCCATTCTAAGTTGTATAAAACCAAAAAAAAAAACTAAATATGTTTGATATACTTGCAAATACTGTCACCAATAAACCGAACGATTAATCCGATCCAAAAGACAACCCTCTTATTAAAATCCAACTAACCATTTAAGCTGCAAATATCCGGTCATAAATTATACACGCCTAAAAACAGGGGCATCCTTCGGCCACCCGGTGAAAATACAAATAATTTGATTGACTCTTTCTGTTTGTTTTGATGATTAATCGTAGTAGTAAAAGGAAGGCAGAAAGTAAGTGATACGGTCTTTTCCAGGTAAGGCAAGCAGGAAAATGATTCCAAGTATTTATCAGCATTTATAAAAGATATTAATGAATTAGTACATTAAATATGAACACGCAGTAATCGGTAATGTCATTTTTTTAAACAAGCATACAGCCCGTCTGGTGGTAAGATCACTGTAGCCTATGTACACCTGCAACACTAGTGGTGTCGCGTGCTCATTGCAAACCCTAAAAAAACCGGTGGGAAAGGGATTGTTAGTAATGCAGTCTAACTACCCCATTGCTAGCAATATACCCTATCAGGTCGACCTCCACGTGGTTCGCCCTGAAAACCATCGTTGTTAATTCTAGTGCAATTCATTACGATGGGCTAACTGACCTGCCTGCTTTCATCGTCACCTATCATCACTCACTGGTGCCTCGCCAGCGTATACCGTTAGCGCAGGCGGGGTTACCATTCCATTATCATCCATTAAAAAAAACCTTTATACGCCCTTTTGAAAGAAGACATTTTTAAAGAAGCAGTTACGACAGGTTTAAAATTCTAACGGTTCTAAAGCCACCGAAATCTTTAACATCCAAGGATGTATATCCGAGACGTTCGAAATGGAATCCATAAGAGTACATATGAATTCTTTCTTTCCCTTTTGTTACTGGTAAGTTTCATAAATTGATTTTGGTTTTAGAATCTAGTCCCAAGTATTTATTTATTTATTTCTTATTACATTCCATAATATAATTAGTACATAACATTTCAATTATGGACCCTGTTGGGCACAGCAAGTAGGAGAGAGGAGGATAACACACTTTTTTCACTTTAGAAATAGTCTAAGGATCTGTTACAATATTATCCAGTCATTGATATGATATAAGTAATGCAGATTTTGCATAATTAAAACTAGTTATGCATAAAATTCCTATTGAGGCCTTTGTATAGCAATAGACAGATGACGTCTGATACGATGACGATGCAGGAAATAGTCACGTTACCTGGCTAGTCCATAAGTATTGGCTGTTTTCCGCATGACTAGTTTCAAATCAGAGTTTGAGGTTCTGCAATAACCATTATTATATAAATACAACGATTTTTTCTTTTTTTATGCAACTTAAAATGTCAAAAATAAGCTGACGGCCCACCTGATGGAAAGTGGTAACCGTCGCCTATAGACATGAGCAATACCATGGACTGGATGGACTGGACATGGATTCTATAGGCGTTATTAGAATTAAACTATGGAATCTAAATACTATATTACCAATTAAACTATGGAATCTATCTAAATAAATCAAAATGTATGGCTAAATATGTTCCTGAGCACAAAACTCGAGAACGGCTAGACTGATTAGACTAGTTTATTTTTTTTTTTACAAATATTTATTAAAATCTGAGGAAGGTTTTTATTAAGAAAAAAGTAGAAGAAACTAAAAACTTATTTTTAAATTGCCATAAAAACTACTCCTAGATGTTAATTCTTAACGGATTAACCAAAAGTAATGAAATTTTTGTCTATACGTACTATGTGGAATGGGGAACACAGACTACTATTTATTCCGGTCAATCGACATATTCCAGTCACGTAGACGAAGTCGCGGTTAAAGTTAGTATAGTTATAAAAGTGATAATTATGCAGATGAAGTTTCTTTGATCGTTATTCAACAAGCGCATACAATTAATAAGTTCATATTACTTTATTCACGACAGATTGTAGGAAGCAAATAACAGTTTCTTAATATGCAGTTAACTTCAGTTGATACAAGAAATAATTAGTTGATACAAGAAATAATTAGAAATAGTGATCAAGAAATAATTCATATAGTCAATACTGATCTGAAGTTAGTTCTCTAAATTACACTTGGCAATTTATTGACTACTCTAGTCAAAAATGAAAAGTTTGAAAAATCCTAATGTGAAGTTACTTAGCGTTAAAGAAAATTTACAGAGGAAATAAAATTGGTAAGGTCTGACGTAGTTTTTTTATGTTATTACATATAACATATAAAATTTATAAAACTCTCGTTTTAAAATGAAATTTGGTGTGTCCATTTATTCCAATAAAAAAACCATTTAAAGACTTCGAAAATTTAACTAAAAAATCAATTCAGCCGAGAATGAGAAAAGAAAGAAACTCTGCTGTTGATTTTTATATTTTTTTTTAAGCAGCAACGGAATTTATATATTATGTCAGTTTACAATTTACTAGATTTATTAGGATAGACTTATATCTCTGACTTTTGAAGGGCAAAAAAATATTTAACAAATTTTAAAAACTATATAACATATTTTTTTAATGTACCCAATAGTGGAACATTTATCAGGCTATATATATAAACTATCATTTAAAAACCATGATATCCAGTTATTATTTTTAACAGAAGAATTCAATTTATACAGTCATAATTCGTAAATTACTGAATACTAAAATCATATGTATCGTAAATTATCAGGGCGGGTAATATAAGATTTTTTTATTTATAAGCATAGTACTTATTCCTTAGTACATGGTATCACCTATACTCGTACTATGCCCAAAAATAGAAAGTAATTTACTGTACTAGAAACAACCTTGCATATTTAAATATAATCTCCCATCAATTTAACATCAAATTATTTATTCTTGTAATATCACCATGCAATCGGTAACTAGCCAGCGGTGAATGGTATTAAGTGCAGAGTAATGGAAAAAGAGAGATTACAAAATCATAGACGGTTTCATCACAAAATGCAGACTGTAGCGGACTTTATAACTGTCTGTGAGCAGGGGGTCATCTGGAGGCATCCGGGGCGGGGGGGCGCGACCGCCAGTCGCACGCAAATGATACGCGGGCGACGCGCTCCGCATCGATCCACCATGTGCCCGGTACTGGTCCGCAGCCCCCCCCAACACCCGGACCAACCCCCACCGCCCGGCTCAACCCCCTCGCCCAGACACAAACACCCGTACGCATAGATAGACGCAAAGACGCACACCGCAATATAATGTGTTCTGCCAAATGAGCCGTTCCGAATATTAAGTCGTCTATGTTCAGAAAACCGATAGTCATTGAAACGAGAAATTATTGGGTACGGAACACTCATTAAGTATCGGCAACGGACCGATTGATTGATTTATAACTCAATCATTTGTATTTAATACATAACATGACTACATTTATTTCGACGACATATATATATTTAATATACGTTTAATATATTTTCAAAATTATCCTACCCACAATTACTATATAAGACATTAAATTTAACATATGAACACCAAATGTCAAAACTTATACTAGAAATTATAGTCAAGTTCAACAAAAAATATAATATAATTAGTATATTTCTACTCTACTCACATTTGATGAAATGCATCGTCCGTGTCCAATTACAGCAAATTAAACAAACTATTTCAAATCCTTAAATAATTTACAATTCATATAAAAAAAAGTAACATGAATGCAACAATTATTAATAACGACAAGCGATGGTTTTTCATTAGTTAAAGCGTGCGCTACCCCTCATGGGGGCGGTTAATTGAGTTCCAGCCACGTGGCACCAATTATTTACCTTCAGGTGAACCACGTGCGTTTGCCTTTATCGCGAACACCCCGCAATACTGTCGTGAACCAGAAAATTTCACTACCCCATACAAGTACATTGTTGCCATTGTACATATAGCAAAATACCGTATAAAATTATTGGCGAAGCGTTGTGGAGGAGCTAACTAAAAATGAAGAAATAAAATGGTGAATTTACAGACATTCGGATTTAATGCTTCTAGTTTGCACTTTACAGTGGATATTAAGCTCTACAGCTCGGGCATAAAGTTCAAATTGCATCACCTACCGCGACTGTACAGTACTAACGAAATAAATACGTACATGACGTTGCTGTGATTTTAGTTAACGTCACACAAATTTTTAGGACTCAACGTTAAAGTACGGAATGTTCCGCCTGAAAATTTTAGCTCAGCGTAAAATATTGGTCGGGACAAGCAAATTTGAGTGGTAAATCGCAAATGCTTTGCGGGATCGCTCGCGGTCAATACAGATGACATAAAATTTTACGAGACAACACAAAATTTAATGTCAGTACTAAATATGTACTTTATTATCTAAGAGTAAGCACTACAACTACTAATACTAAATCTACAGAAGCATTGCCTGGTAGTAAATAAACGAAAAATGTAGCATTCGAGCGTTCCAGTGACGACACCCCAAAATCTAGGGCACGTGATCTGCAGACACGCGACCGCAAGATTTCAACTCACATTAGGCACAAACGGGATACAGTCCAAGGAAATCTTATACCTAGAAGTTGGAGAAATTCAAACACAGTCAACAGTAACTTGCTGGTAATATTTTTTTCGTGTACGCTCGCGAATTCAGGTTCCGCGGAGTCCTCATTTGGTTAGTTCTATAGCGCCATTACACGTCCGTCACGCGCGGTGGCCACGGCTCGACTGAGGCGCCGGTGGTCCTCTCCCCCCGCCGGCGTCTCGCCGCCCCCTTGCTGCATCCTTCAAATGCTCCCTGATAATTGGGAGAAAATACTACATATAGTTGCAATTCGTGCCGCATGCCCTTTTTTCAGCGTGACTCAAACGTAATTGCAGTTATTGGGAGATCTTTGAACTCACAAGCGGTATTGCTATGCGCGACCACGTTGCCTTTTAAATGATTTTTGCTACAATGTTTTTTTTTTTTTCAGTTTCGCGTCAAAGTCACTTCGGTTGCTCGTATTTTAGAGAAGTAAAGACTATGAATATAAATGCTCCATTTATATGGCTGGCACGTTTTCATGTTAAAACACTGTCATTTGAGACGAGACGAGACGAAACGAAAAATTATCGTACATTCGTCCTGTCCTATGATGTCAATTTGGAGTCACAGAAATCGTCAAGTGTCACAGTATTATAATATTTTAAACATAATATGACTGGACATCTTTTTCTGCGTCAGTTACTAATATAGTATCTGTACTATAAATATTATACAAATGTTTTGCTAGATGTGAATAGTTTTTATTTATTAACTTCTCTAGTGTTGAGTGGTTCGACTCGAACGACCTCAGATATAGTGGATTCGATTTTGTTTGCAGACAGAAACGTTTATTAAATTTCTGTTTCACGTTACAGTAATAGTAGACATAATTAATAAAGTCATTTAATTAAGAAAAAAACAAGCCATGAAATAACCTCCATTAACACAGTTTGATCCAATTTAATAATTAAAATACGAGCAATGTGAACGCCACTCTTTCGCCATGATGTAGATAATTTAAAATTAAAACAACCATCAAAAGTAGACCTTTCTTTAATTAAAAGTTAATCATCGAAATCGGTTACATATTGACGAAAATATTACGTAACACCTCTAAGATAGGTTTAATCGAAAACCTCCTTTTAGAAAAACGGTTGAAAATGTAATAATTTTACTAGAATTATAATAAAAAAAAAGATTTCTAATAATTGCTTTACCCTAGTGATGTAATAAATAAATGCATAAATATGCAAATATGCACTTGTAAGCCTGAATTAACGTCAACACAAATACGGATTCAAATTCTAAGTCGAACTTACATCCCATAGTTGGAACTATAGGTCCATAGTATTTATTGCCATATGGCTCTATAATTCCTCCCTCACAATAACGATGCAGCCAAAACATGAATTTATTCTTTGCATTTAAAATTATCGTCTAGTTAAATAACGTAGCGGGAGCTACGATCTTCGTAGCGACTAGCTACGCCGTAGCGGCGTGTTGTGATAAATTTTATCGCATGTACTTGTAATTTTACACTATAACTATGAGAAAAAGCTTTTTATTTAAGCTTTTTTACGTATTAACGAATTATATGCTATTAAAAATAGTCTATACTAATATACGAGTATAGTGCAAGTTTGTTTATTTTTTATACCACTGAGGTGGCAAACAAGCATACGGCCCACCTGATGGTAAGCGGTTACCGTACCCTATGAACGTCTGCAATACCAGAGGTATTACGCGCGCGTTGCCGACCCTGAAGAAACCTTTTTACCCCCCTTTTGAAGAACCCCATGCTGTACTCGTAGTCTCTCGGGAAAACCTCGGCAGGAAGCTCATTCCATTTGGTTTGAACACGCTAATCACTGAAACTTCTAGTCGAATATATATAATTTTTTTTTGCATTTGATAGCTCTTTTCCATCCAAAGGTTGCCTGCAAGAGATCGCTCTTAGCGATAAGGTCGGCCATTGTTTTCTTATTGTGATTATTTCTTGTAATTATTCATATTTATAATAAGTTTACTACTGTAATCTTTTGGAAGAAACAATAAAGAGTATCTATCTATCTATCTTTTCTTGAAAAAAGTTATATACTTATATATTATTGTACATCACGATATAACCATGGGCAAAGACGCGGAATACAGCTAGTTAAATAATAAAATTAATTTAAAAATGGAATACTATCGATAATAACGTAATTCGTCGTTCCAAAGATAAAACAGTAACTATATTTTACTGTAAAACGCTACTACATAGGTACACATACTCAAGCACTCATGCATGCACGCACGCACGCACGCACGCACGCACGCACACACAAGCACACATACAAAATAACAACGACACTTATAATTCGTACCCCCATTTTATATAGTAGGGATAGGATAGATAGATAGATAAATAGATAATTTATTTGCATTACTTATAATACGCAAATAACAATACAAACATATATACATTATACAGACATACACAGTAAAAGAGATAAAAGAATGAAAAACAAAAAAAAGTAACAAAAATTATTGCTTTTTATATTTTTTTTATTATTTATTTGATTGTAATTATAAGAATTATAAGAGAAAGGAATTTTTTAATAAATAGTAATGAAATAATGGGTAACTATTTATTTTTAAAATAAAAAATATTTTTATTCAAGTAAATTTAAATAATTATATACAATTTTAAATACTATTTTTATCGCCTTATTCGAAATGGAAGGAATTTGCAATTTCAACTGAGAAGAACGGACAAGAAAATTAGTTGTTGTTTACGCTAAAGGGGTATATATATATATATATATATGTATTTGTTTTAAAGTACGAATAGTGAAGTCTCTATTTACAGTAAAAATTTGTTGTAATTGTTCCTTCTATTGCATGAATGCATTATGTTTCATTTCCTAATCACTTCTTATTTTTCTGAAAATGAAAAAGTGTAAATCAAATTTCAAAGTATTTTTATATTAAACTACCTCCATAATGCAGTAGTAAGCACGTTGCTTAACATGAATGAGGTCTCAGATTTGATTCTCGCTCGAGTCAATTTGGAAATTAAACTTTTTTTAATTGACTCGATTCTGGGTGTACTAAGTGATGTACCCACATGCTCGTCGCCTGTTCCTCGTAACACAGGGTGTCCCAAATTGAGGAGCAAGTGATTATTTATTTATTTATTTATTTTAATCGTGCGATCGCATGGCACTTATTATTATTAGTATACGACACGAACACAACATCGTGCCGTCTTCGTCGCGGAATAACTCTGCAGATAATTCAATACGCCTATAACTCAATCCGAGCCGCCACACCCCCAAAGTTTTCACAGGGGAAAATTTATGGAACCATTTTCCAGAATAACGACCCGATTGAGAGTTTGCAATATAAAATGCCCCTTTTTAAACGCCTTCCAAAAGGAGTAAATTCTTAATTCGTCCGTGGTGAGGTTTCGTCGCCAATTCTGTGTCAATTTTGGTAATTAACTTTATAATCTGTTATATATGTGTAAGTATATTTGTTATTTATATATATTTATTCGTTTATATATGTAATTTTAGTATGTATGTATATCAATAATTACTAGTATCGCATACGAGTATTCTGACACTTCTCTATGGTTGACTGGAAGAGAATGCTTTTAGCATTAAGTCCGCCATGTACACATATTTGTACTAATGAATAAATAAATAAAATAATCAATGAAGTTTCGATCCCATTTTATTTATTGATCGCAATCGATGATTATCTTTACTCAGCAACTACATTTAGCAGAAACAAAATATCTGATAAACAATATGTGTTTGATGTTTTTGTGCATTATACACATACGTAAAAATTGAATAATTCACTCTTGCGCCACCTGCTCACTTCTATCTGTTCTCCTTTAACCAAAGCTTGTCTGTAAGAGATTGCCCTAGCAATAAGACCGCCTTTTGTACCTTTATATGTATATTTTAATCTGTACTCCATGCTAGTGTATTTCACTTGAATTGGCTTTATATGTCATTGTTTATTTTTACGTTTTTGGTGCAATAAACAGTTAAATAAATAAATATAATTATCAAAATACAATTCATTAATTCGACATTTAATTAACTGTCAAATATAATATGTCTACAAAACGTTTTGTTATTCGTGGGTGTTTTTTTTTATACCACAAAGAAGGCAAATAATACATCCCGTTTAATGGTAAACGGTCACTGTAGCCTATGGATGCCTGCAATACTAAAGGTGTCACGTGTGCGTTTTTTTTGATGGGTGAAAATGGTATGGTAGCCCCGCCTGCGCTAACGGGATACGCTGGCGGGGCACCAGTGAAGGGTGATAGATGAGAATGAAAACAGGCCAGTTAGCCAATCGGGACTAATTCAATATAATTAATCACGATGGTTTCCAGGGGGAACCGCGTGGAGGTCGACCTGACATGGTATATTGCTAGCAATGAAACTGATAGCTTGCATTACTAACAACCCTTCCCCCCTCACGTGTGCGTTACCAACTATGAAGGAACCTTTATATACCCTTTTTGAACAACCCCATACTGAAGTCTGTAGGGAAAACCTCGGCAGGTAGCTCATTCTACAGTCTGAGCGTTTGAGGAAACTCCTTTGAAACCGCACTGTAATCGACTATTTAGGTTCTAGCGTGTGAAGATGAATTTCCTGTCGATGATAAGCGGTATGATGATAAAAGGTGGCTGTTGGTATCATTTCCATCAATATCTCAGAATACAATCCATTATACAAGTGTTACAACGACGAAAGGTTGTAATGAAACATAGTATGTATTATTGTAACGGATGTAGTCGTTATATATTCACGGTTTCACATATTTATTTATTTAATTAATGTATTCTTTTGGGAAATTAAATAAGGTTTTCCCAAGAGACTACAGCATGGGGTGCTTCAAAAGGGGGGTAAGAGGTTTCTTCAGGGTCGGCAACGCGCGCGTAATACCTTTGGTATTGCAGGTGTTCATAGGCTACGATAACCACTTACTATCAGGTGAGTGAGTGCGTGCGTGGTTGCGTGCGTGCGTGCGTGCGTGTATATATTACGCAATACACTTGCAAATAGTGTATTTTGATGTTTTCTCAATTAATGTAAATTAGTCACTTCTGTTAATTTCATAATAATTTCATGAGATTGTTATCTTTTAAAAAAATAATCACAAAATTTCGTAATAATATAACA